TTAACATTGTAAATTATACAGTGATTCTGAGAACATTAACATTGTAAATTGTACAGTGATTGTTTGAACTTTGTATTAACATTGTAAATTGTACAGTGATTGTGAGAACATTAACATTGTAAATTATACAGTGATTCTGAGAACATTAACATTGTAAATTATACAGTGATTGTGAGAACTTTGTGATAACATTGCAATTTATACAGTGATTGTGAGAACTTTGCGTGTGCGGATTGGTTTTTAAAATTACATTTAATTATTTTTGCTGAAATTTTGATATTTTTGTGTGTAAGGACTATTGAAGAAAATAAATTCACAGTGAAGTTACCGAGCTTTTTGACGTTAAAAACGTTTAAATATTTTTTATTACTATTAAATTCTGACTGAGTTTATCTACCCCTCAAGCATATGCTCGATCTGTATAGATACTTTTTCAGGTTTCAACCATGGAAATAAATCCCTAACTATTCTTTTAATGTTTATTATTCTGTAGTAATTAGCTTTTTCTTGTATTCAATTGTGAAATTACAGTAGCAAAGTTAAAAATAGAAAAAGACGAAAAAGTATTTATATTTTCTTCCAATTAAAATTTATTCAGGGAAAAAAGTTTGCAATATGTTGCAATTTTTAAGTATTTTTCGCTTTATTATTGTGAATATATGACAAGGTTTTGAGAAAGCTTTAAATGGTAATACAAGATTTACTCGACATGAATTGAAACAATTGTTTGTTTTCAGTGAGATTTTTTTAAACCTCTACCTCCCTTTACGAACATTGGCTTATTTAATGATTTGGCAAATAAGTTGCAGAGAATCATAAAATTAAGGAAACAGACAGCACAGTTGATATTTGATATAAGGGTGCCCTAATATCTACGCGTAGTATATGATAAGATTGGATCGCAGACCTCAAACAGATTGATAACTAATTTGGGTTCGCAGAGGAGGTTTTAAAGCACACAAATGCTTTTGAGTTTCACGCTTCTGCTAGAGAAGATTTGCACTCACAGGTAAACCATGCCAGTCTATTTGTCCTTATACAAACTACGAAATTTTATTCTTGTGTATTTTTTATTATTTTTTTTAGTATTTTTGAAAAATTTAAAGGATCTGTTTTTCATTGTTTTTCGTTTTTTTACTTTTATCGCTACGATTGTGTTTAAGTTAAATTTTAACAATATTTTTTTTACTTTCATCGTTGCTTTTTTTTTTGGTTTTATTTGATATATATTTTTGTAATTTATTTTACTTTATTCAGATGGAGTACAGAAACAACAATTGTTCCATGGGATCAAACTCTAGGAAAACAACAGCAATTTTTTTGACATCCTGTTACCACATAGTTTGTTCGAAGCAAATTACATTGTACAAGGGCGTCAAACAAAAAGTCGTTTTAGTTTTTTAAACAATTTGGGACATTTATTCAACCATTATTTTAAACATCATACTTTTAAAAGTAAATTGAAGGAAGAGCGCCGTTCCAATAAAATTCAATAATCACGTCTCTCAAAATGTCATGTTTAGTGGGTATTTTAAAAATTTTGCTTTTAATTTCTTGAATTTTCCGGGTTTTGATCGTTTTCTTTTTACAACATGAACTTGATGTTAAATCTTGATACTTTTGATACTTTAGGGCAGCATTGGCTGTCGGGAAATCAAAGTTTTGTTTTTGTTTTCATGAATGCTTATTGTTTATATAGTGAGTATACGAGACAGATCAGCACTATTGAACGTGTGAGTAAGCTCTCCCTCATTTTCAAGAACGTCAAATTATCCACCTTCTAGACTCAAGCTATCCACCGTCTAGACTCAAGCTATCCACTGTCTAGACTCGAGCTATCCACCGTCTAGCTAGACTGAAGCTATCCACCGCCTAGACTTAAGCTATCCACCGTCTAGCTAGACTCAAGCTATCCACTGTCTAGGCTCAAGCTATTCACCCTATAGACTCAAGCCATCCACCGTATAGACTCAAACTATCCACCCTATAGACTCAATCTATCCAACTTCATGGTTTAGCTATCCACCTTCTAGGCTCAAGGTGTCCACCGTCTAGACTCAAGCTGTCCACGGTCTAGACTCAAGCTATCCACCCTAAAGACTCAAGCTATCCTCCATTTAGACCCAAGCTATCTACCTTCTAGGTTCAAGTTTTCCACCTGCTAGACTCTAGCTATCCCTCATGTTAAAGAACGTTCAAATATACATCTTTTAGGCTCGAGCTATCTTCCTTATAGACTCGAAATATCCACCTTTTAGACTCAGCTTTCCTCATTCTAGACTCGAGTTTTCACTCATACTCTATATCTTCAAGCAATCTACATTCTAGACTCGAGCTATCTACCCTCTATCTCTAGTTATCTAGCTACCATGTTCAGGGGTGGGGATAACAGAAATATTTAAAAATTTGAGGAATTTTGTTGGTGGTTTTTTTTAAAGAAATTCTATGCTACTTTAATAATGTTGGGTTTCTAATCTGGTTAATTGTAGTAGTATCATTTCATATTTCATGTTTTAATATATTTAACTCTCGTCATGTTAAATATTTTCTTGTACATAAAATTGTATTCTAATCTATAAAGTCAAAATGAATTACCATATCCTGCAGCACATTCTTTTTGAAATAGCAAAAGCCCATGATTTTAATTGAGTCTTATTTTAAAATCTGAAACTAAATTTCTTTTGCATGATAATTATTTACTATTTATAAACAACTACTATCAGACTTATTTAATTATATTTCCAGCGGATCAAAGGGATTGTATGCGTATTTACTGTCGTCTTCGATTCACAAAAGCGGTCATTAAATCTATATCTGGATATTTCATTTTTCTTCTCAATGTCTCATATTTTAGTTTTTAGGTAGAAAAGCGATGATATCTTACTCATTTTTAATAAACCTAAGGTTATTCGGGTACCGTTGTGAATCGGACATGCCTTTCAAAGGGTTGCTTGTAAATACGCCGATAGTACCTTTAATTTAATACTTCGTATCCTCTGTACCATGCTAAATTTGTCATTTCTATTAAAGAGATATTGTTTTTCTGGTTCTACAGCTTTGGCATTAAAAGTGTGATGTAACATTTGACCTTTAAACATTTGAGACCTTTTTCTTTTAACCAAGCTTCTGGGCAATTTTTATTGTATGCCCTCAAAAGTAACTCGATGTAAATTGTAAATACTTTTGACATTTATGATGATCATTGGTCAGCTATGAAACAGCTTCGTAACCTTTGCGTAAAATACTTTTATTTTTTACACAAATATATTTGGGACAAATTGTTTGTACAGTCAACGTTAACATTAATTTATTTTTCATTTAATTTAAATTTTTCTTCAGAGAAAAGCTAGTTTTTATATAACAATATACCAACAAACTAAGTCAAATTTTTATATTAAAATGAAATTTTTGGTTAATTCTAATATTAACCATGATGGATATTTTCTCTTGCTGAAAAAGTATAAATACAATCAAACTTTCTTCTGAACTCCAAGTAAACATGTAACTTGTTTGAAAATGTAAATCTGATAATATCTTTATTTTTATGCCTTTTTTGTAACTTGTGCAATGTTTTTTTTTCAGGTGAAATCTCAGTAATAGAAACCTTAACTTAATTTTCATTTGGTCTTTAATAGGTTAAAAAGAACGTCGTGGTTTTTAACGTAACATAAAAACGCAAATACAAGTTTATGTTTTAACAATCGGCAATTATCAAATATTTCCTAAAATAAAAATTTACACCCTATGGCTTAACGCCTGTAACTATGAAGACTGAAAAGTTATTTAATTTATAAATATGTATGACATGTTCTGTACTACAGTGATGTTTCAGAAACACCCTGTATGGGGGTGAGTGGTAGGTTTGCTGCGGCCTACTATGGGTGTACTCAGCTACCTCAAGGCTTTGGTCAGGTCGATCTGGCAAGCACTGTTGCTGAACTCCGTAGGCACGCTAAAATATCATTTTTCGAGATAAAATATATGTAGATTTTCTCTGGTGGTGCAATTTGAATAAGAATGTGTGAGTGTAATTTTAAAAATCCAAATTTGGGGGCATTTTTTTAAGAGACGGGGAAAAAAATAAAAAGAATCTGAGTTTATATCGAAAAATGTTATAGTATAATTTGAGTTTGCTCTAAGAGTGTAGGTTTTTATATAAAAAATTACTGTGGTAGCATATTTTTTTTATTTTCGAGAAAATTAGCTATTTTTGGAACTATTTAGACCCCTGTTAGGGACTTCTAGCCCTAGGGGGCAAACCTTTTTAAGCGGGGTCTGCCCCCCCCCTTAATCAGGCTACGGGGGGGGGGCCCATTAGTTGCGCGCCTGGATTAGGTACGACTATAGTCTATAGGTCATCGACCCGATTTTATATTGGTTCAGACATGTCATGGGGTTCCAGCATTTGCTCAATGAATAAACGAAAACGCAACAGTAAAATTTAACCCGGTAAATTTTAATCACAATCATATATATTTCCAGTTTAAAGATAACAATAATTTTATAATCTAAGGCTAGACTTAAATCACAATAATTATAATTCGATTTGCTGAGATATATTTAAAAATTGGTTTTTATCTCTTATTTTTATTAAATAAAACAATCAAAACCAAGCAAATTTGAAAACAATGGATTCAAATGGTACTTTTTTGTCAATACTTATTTCTCTTTGTGCCCCTAGAAGCGGAATACGATTAGAACGTTCGAAATTTAACTTAACTATAAAGATTTATCAAGTCGAACATGTTTGTAACAAATGTAATGTAAAAAATTAAATTTTCTGTTGTGTAATGATAATCAATTATCAATGTTTAATAAAGAATCGAATTATTGTTTTGTTTTCATAAACTCATTTCTGCAGACGATCGTTAAACTTGATTTCCTATTTCCACAACTACAATTTTTTATTTGATGCGTGTAGGGAAGAGCCTATAAGAACCAGTATTGAAATTACAAGCGGAAAACTAATTATCTACAGGTCAGAATAATTTCATAATTTATTTTATGGAATAGAGTATCAGAGTTTCTCAACCCCAAACTCAGTAAATTTAAGTTTACAAAGTTGACTGTCTTTATAATTCTTTTTGAAAATACGCCATTTGACGTAACAGTTAACTGCAAAGTGGTTTAATGGTAACTTATTTTTCATGCAAAAGGTCGCGAAATTGTGTTGTCGTTAGCGTTTTTTTCTAACCTATTCTAGTTAACGTTTAATACTTATGATAATGATCGCGAAAATAAAATTAACTAAGTCAACCAAATATTTTGGCCAAAATTCAACGAGGTTGTGAAATTCGTTTAATTTAGTAAAATAGTCGAAGAGGACTTTTTTTTAAAAAGTCGCAATTGTTATTAATTTGTTTCTGTTTAGGGAGGATGGTCTGGAGATATTCAAACATTCAGTTCATTACATCACAAGCATCAACACCGTCTCAAGGAATTTGATAAAAAAACATTCATAAATTTTATCTGTAAGTTACATAAAATTATACAAAGGATGACAATATAGGATTAATTAATGTTTTCATGATTTTAGATTTTTCCAACTTCTTCAGTTTTAGCATAATATCTTCTATATAAGAAAACAAGACACTCGCATATATTCCAAGGGATTGTTCAACTAAATATTATACTGACTGTTCAGCTTGAAATTCCAAGGGATTGTTCAACTGAATATTATACTGACTGTTCAGCTTGAAATTCCAAGGGATTGTTCAACTAAATATTATACTGACTGTTCAGCTTGAAATTCCAAGGGATTGTTCAACTAAATATTATACTGACTCAAATAGATTATCAAGTACAATAGGTGGCAACAGAGAAACGGAAAAATGATACATGACGTCACAAGTGTCAAATATAACGAGAAAAACGAAATTTCTCACTTTAGTTAACATGTTTTCTAAGTTTAAGTAAAAAGTGTAAAACAGAAAATAAAGAACACATAAAATTGCAATTATTTTACTGTAAGATAAACACTTTATTCTAAAATTTTCACTATCATTAATAATTTTCGCGGACGCAAAAACAGAAATGACACTTCTGACGTAAGAATACAGTTGTACAAATTCTATGTTGCCATCTATTGTGCTAGAATGTATTTGTACTGACTGTTCAGCTTGAATTTCCAAGAGATTTTTATTTCTTATGTTCTTTTTAGAATTGAAAGGGATTTTCAACTTAATATTAAATTTGTTATCAAACCGTTTAGAATCCTGACAAGTGGAGGAAAACAGACTGCTGAACAGGGGAAGGATATAATCAGGAACATATTTATTAATTTTTTAATAGTCACCACACATCCAAAATTTTAATTAAGAGAACTCGAGATAATTTTTAGTCCTAGGCGTCTTATTAACAGTACCCATCCATTGGTTCTCACATATCGGTATTTAGAGGGAGTGGCTGAGGGGTCGAGTGACTTATCGACTGAAACCCCCCGCCCCTGTATCCATGTTAAGCGATGTACCTCTGACAGGATAATGATATTGTTTGATCCAGGGATCTAATCAGCAAGTATGATAACAACCAGCTAATCATAGTTCCTGGAGGAGGACTCAATGAAACCAACCTAGGAAATTAAATTAGTTTTTATCATTTGATTTAAGTTACAGGGTTTCTCACAAAAGATGAGACTGAAACGACTACTCTAAACTCTTCAAATCTGACGATCCCAAGTTTAAATTAATTTAGCTGCCTTGAATGTGGTCTTTAAATGCACAGTGTTCCTAAAGGGGGGGGGGGGGAGAGGGTTAAAAAAAATGTCAATGAGTACGGACAAATGTTTCACGGAGAGCTTTGTTAGGTCTTCTCAGAACAGGTTGTATTTCCTTTTTTTCCCTTTATTCCCATTATTAGCTCTGCTGAATTAAATTAATAAAACCTTGTAATATAAACTCTAAAATAAAGTAACAAAATTCCCAAAAATTACACATAATGCAAGCATAATATTTTAGAACAAACTTTAATAGGAAGAAAATACTTAACTTTTTTTCGTGTCTTTTTCCATTATTTACTTTTTTATTGTAAATTCACTGTAGAAAACTGATTGCTAAATAATCCTAAACAATTAAAAATATTTTGGCATAATATCATAAGTTATGTACAGTATAAGAAAACAAAAAGATTATACATAATGAGCACTAACTATACAAATAGAAAATTTGTATATCTATCTGTGATGTAAAATATCAAGAGAAATCTTCTTCTCTATTTCCTTCATGATCAGATTCAAACACTAAGTACAATGTGGGGTAAAGCTATGTACAGTACCAATAAAATAAAAAAAAAATTTGTACACTGTTGGTACATTGTTTTCAGCCTAACACTCCTTGAAAATGTATTACATCTTATATTGTAGTGATATTGTAAATAAGCTTGATATGTTATATCTAAATTTAAAATGTGGTCATGAAGCTAATAGAGCCAAGGTTTGTAGTCCTTGTGAAATAAAAAATCTTGGACAAAGGTTTGCTAAAGCAGAAAATTTCAGTTTAATCTAGAATTGAAACCATCATCAAGCAGTTTATATCTGAAGAATTTGATGTAAACAGTTTTTTTCTAATGGATCTAAATATTTTTATTTCCGTTTCTAATAAAGTTGACAATTTGATTACATACTGTTCTACATTCATAGCATTTTTATACAATATTAACATTGCAAGTTGTACAGTGATTGTGAGAACATTAACATTGTAAATTATACAGTGATTGTTTGAACTTTGTATTAACATTGTAAATTGTACAGTGATTGTTTGAACTTTGTATTAACATTGCAAGTTGTACAGTGATTGTGAGAACATTAACATTGTAAATTATACAGTGATTCTGAGAACATTAACATTGTAAATTGTACAGTGATTGTGTGAACTTTGATGAGCATTTTTTTCAAATTTTTTTTTCCACTGGCAAAGTCGGGCCCTTCAGCCAGTATTTTTTATTTGTATAAGTTTTTTGTACTTTCCCTAGTTGGTTCTCTGCTGGTTAATTATTTCTATAATAAATCATTTAATTACCTTTAAAGGCAGAAACCCAATTTAAACTCTCAAAGTTACAATTAAAGATGTCAGGTCGAGTCATTATTGTCTCACCCTTCTTGGTTAACCCTTGATATTTTTTCAATTATATTTATTTTAATTGATCCCATGGTTTGGAGCTGAGGAATCAAATAGCAGATCAATTTTTTGTAAAATTTCCAAACTTGGATGGGTAGAATGTTGGTGGAGAACTAAAGCATAAAAATGGGCAAAGTTTGAATAAATAAAATTAACTAGTCAAGCTCAAATAAAAACTGTATTTTTTTTGTTAAGTTTTTGAAATTGTACACAAATAAAAAGTATCAAATCAGCCTAATGTAAGCATGATTTTAAATATGCTTTAAAGATAATTTAGCAGATTTGCAAAATTTGAGGTTTATGTTGAACAACTTTAATTAATTTACACAAATATTTATCTCTCAATAAACAATTTCTTGAATGTGGAGATTTGGGATGTTTTACTTCAATTCAAAGAAAATCTAGGACTACACTATCTCTGTGCAAAATTATTTTGCACAGACGTTTTTGTCAAATTGAGAAGTTTGCAAAATTTATAAATAGCAATTTACATCATAACTATACATCATACAATACTTACAACGACAACATAAGGATTCAGGAAGCTTTCCAATGTACTGGCTTCGTTTAAAAGCAGTGTTCGCGAAACATGAAAGGGAGTATTGACTTTCAGTTTTTTGACCGCTATTTGAAATTTAATGAAAATCAAATTTTAATGGAGGTTAATTTTTGAAATTTTTGATCTTCCATAAACCTTCCCTGGGGTGATATGAGGTCCCATACAAAATTTAGGCCCGATCGGTTTAGCCTTTATGACGTTTATCGGATAAAAACAAACAAACAGACACCCAGACAATTAAAGAATACGTATAGATAACAAGTGGCGTAATATCAGAAAATAAAAACCAAGACAAATATATTTCAAATCAACTATATCTTTCTTATTGATTGTCGTCTCAATAACTCAATCCATTCTTGAGACCATAAAAGGAATTATCTGAGTTTGCAACTTTTGAATTGATATTTTGGGTTAAACTAATGATTCCCATTTAAAAGTTCTTAGCTTACATAAAGTCGCAAATTTTACAATATTCTTTTTAATCCTTAAAATAGCTTACTGGAGACAGATCAACCTAATTAATTCTGAAGCTTTATTATATTCTTCAACTATGAAAAAATAAAAATATGTTATTTTAAGAAAATTTATCAACTTACTAACCTAGGGAGAAATCTTTACTGGCCTACATAACTAAATCTGTGACTGCTCTGGTAAGATATAATTACTACCACGTTTATTTGTGTCAGCAATGCTAATTGTAGAAGCCTAGAACATGATCTAGATTGGACCCCCCCCCTACTTAAATCCCTAAATTTAAATCCTCAATGTTCCACGGATATCGAGCTAAAGTCATGTGGCTTTAGCGCTCTCCCTACCAAAAGTTTTGGCTTGTTAAAACATTTTATTTTATCCTTTAATGTTTAGGGAGTGAAGGAGTACACACAGTATGTTTTCAGACTGGAGTGCTCGGAAAAGGTTGGTTTTGTTAAAGGGACTATCAAAGGAATTTCAAATGAGCCTCCATTTATAGAGTATGCTTGATACACACCAACACCTCTTAATCCGTTATCTGAGTAACAATGAGAATGATATCGTAGTTTTTTTAATTCTTTTATTTGTTGTTTCTGATTCATGGTTCTGCAAGTCGCTGCGTAAATGGAAGTTATAAATTATCCGAAAGAAAAGCATTAATATTTCCATCAGTTTGATTCAGAAAAGATAACTTAATTGTTTTTAGTCTTGTTTAATCCTGAATAGTCATGAGACGTCTTACTTTTTTCTTAAATTTTACTAGAAGGGGTTCATTTATTTCTCGTACAGTCCCAGTTCACCTTACATAGTCTGTAATTGTATGTACACTGTACACATAGTCTGTAATTGTATGTACACTGTACAGCTGCTCTAGGTGCTGAAAATTAGGCCCGGTATTTAAAATATCCGGCCCTCCATATTTTGATGAAATATGCAAAGAATGAGTGTACTCGAGATGAAACTTTGTTATAATAGAAATGATCAGAGTTGAATTTAGAAAATTATTGTTTAAAAATTACAATGATGTTGTGTAGAATGCCGGAAACAAATATTCAAAGTGCATTGCTGCTGCATTGTTTTTTTTTTTACGTAATAGGCCAGTTGCTTAAATTCAAGCTTTCTAGACACTTTGGCTCCAGGCATATAGAGGTAGGGAGGGAGGGGGGATTAATTATATTCTATAATAGAAGAAATGTAGAAAGATAACCAAATGTGAAAACCTTTGTTTTCTCAAGAGATTAATTTCCGCTAGTGTGTTGTTTTCTTAATCAAGTTAAACTTTATACAGTCTTGTAGAACCTAAACTTCACACCGTCTTGGAGAACCTAAACTTTATACTGTCTTGGAGAACCTAAGCTTTATACTGTCTTGGAGAACCTAAGCTTTATACCGTCTTGGAGAACCTAAACTTTATACCGTCTTGGAGAACCTAAACTTCAGACGGTCTTGGAGAACCTAAACTTTATATGTCTTGGAGAACCTAAACTTCACACCGTGTCTTGGAGAACCTAAACTTTATACTGTATTGGATAACCTAAACTTTAATCCGTCTTGGAGAACCTAGCTTTATACCGTCCTGTCCTGGAGAACCTAAACTTTAAACCGTCTTTGAGAACCTAAACTTTATACCGTCCTGGAGAACCTAAACTTTATTGATCAAATTTTAATCCAGTTTGGGTTAGATTTTGACTATTCCTTTTTTTTAAATTTAGTTTTTGGCTAATAGGTCTGTATGTATTAATGGGGGGGGGGGGAAGTTGATATAAGGATAAATGAATAAAACTATTATACAAGTTTAAATATTTTAAGAGAGAGTATTCTTAAGAACATTTTTGGCTAATATTATAGATTTAGGCCTGATGGTTACAGAAACTTGCTGAAAATATTTTTTGCTTGTGTTTTTTTAGTGCAGATAGGATAATAATAATTAGAATAAAAATCAGTTTATAATATGATAAGTTGATTAGATTATTAAAATATTTCAAGAACTGTGAAATCTAATATTTGCTTATGTAAGTGACCTTATATTTCAATATATATAAAACAAACATTTATTTAACAACCTGTTAAATCAATAATCTTAGATATAAACGATTCCAATACTTCAATATTATTTTTATATTTGATGGATGATTGTTTTGAAATTAAATAAAGTCAAATATAAACAACGTTTTTCTGTACAATGCACTTTCCAAGCCCAAGAATGTGTTTGAATTCTTTTTCCTGTTTTAACCGGATATAATTTGTAGAATGTAGATCTAAGTTAATTGTGTAAGTGCAACAGCTTGAGATCATATATTGTCCCTGTTTGATGTAATTTTTGTGTAAATCTTGAGAAAGTCCAAGTTAAATGCGTGACTGTTTTGAAAGCAGTTTCCATGCAGTCTACTGGGTGCAGTGCACATGTGGGGTTCTGATTACCAGATTTAAAGCTTACTCTAGTCCTAGTTCTTAACATTTGTAATACGCTTTCTTTATCGGCTTATTCGATCCGAATCCAGGCAACTATAAATTAAAGTATTGAAATAGTAAATCATTTATTTAGTCATTTACATATTATTTATAGGAAGGCAAAGGGTTTAGAAAATATTTGGACGGACGAAACTTACCTCAAACTTAAATTTCCAAAAGTATATCTTTGCAAATTGATCGAGAGTTAAATAATAATAAAAACGTTGATATTTCATACTCTGACAATTTGATCTACGAGAGTTAAAAGTTTGAAGTCTACGACCTATATATTAAAGAGAATCATCATTACCTTAAACTAGGAATCAGACCTGAAAGTAGGCATTCAACTTTCACAGGGAATCAGACTTAAACAAGGAATTAGACTTAAAGTAGGAATCAGACTTAAACGAGGAATTAGACTTAAAGTAGGAATCATACTTAAACGAGGAATCATACTTAAACGAGGAATCATGCTTATACTAGGAATCAGATGTGAATTAGGAATCAGACTTATTAGTATTACTAGAAATCAGAATCAAACTAGGAATCATACAAAACTAGGAGTCAGACTTAAACTAGGAATCAGACTTAAACTGGGAATCGGACTTAAACTAGAAATTTGACTTGAACAAGGTATCAGACTTGGTCTAGGAATTAGACCTAAACTATGAATTAGACTTGAACTAGAAATCAAGCTTAAAAAAGGAATCAGCCTTAAAATAGGAATCAGACTTTAACTAGGAATCAGACTTGAACTAGGAATCAGACTTAAACTAGGAATCAGACTGAAACTAGGAATCAGACTTGAGCTAGGAATCAGACTTTAACTAGGAATCAGACTTGAACAAGGAATTAGACTTGAACCAGGAATCAGACTTAAACTAGGAATCAGACTTAAACTAGGAATCAGACTGAAACTAGGAATCAGACTTAAAAAGGAATCAGACTTAAAAAGGAATCAGACTTGAACTTGGAATCAGACTTGAACTATGAATCAAACTTAAACTAGGAAGTCAGAAACTAGGAGTAAGACTTAAACTGGGAATCAGACTTAATCTGGGAAGCAGACTTGAACCAGAAATCAGACTTGAACTATGAATCAGAATTAAACTGGGAATCAGACTTAAACCTGGAGTTAGACTTAAACTGTGAATCAGACTTAATCTGGGAATCAGACTTAATCTGGGAAGCAGACTTGAACTAGGAATGTGAATTAAACTAGGAATCAGACCTGAACGTAGGAATTAGACTTAAACTAGGAATTAGACTTAAACAAGGAATCAGACTTAAACTAGGAATCAGACTTAAACTAGGAATCAGACTTTAACTAGGAATCAGACTTAAACTAGAAATCAGACTTTAACTAGGAATCAGACCTGAACGTAGGAATTAGACTTAAACTAGGAATGAGATTTAAACTAGGAATTAAACTTAAATAGAAATGATACTTAAACTAGGAATCAAATTTTAAATAGGAATGAGACTTAAACTAGAAATCAGATTTAAACTAGGAATTAAACTTGAACATGGAATTAAACTTAAATAGAAATGATACTTAAACTAGGAATCAGATTTTAAATAGAAATGAGACTTAAACTAGGAATCAGATTTTAAATGGGAATTAGATTTTTAATAGGGGTAGAATAAATACAATATAAATGGCAGTAGTGGACCTGCAATATTTTGGTTGACTGGATAAGGATCCGCATCCCCTTAAATGTTATAATACAAAGGGGCAAAATATCTACCAAAACCTGCTAAATAGTTTTTTCTCAATGCACAAATCTTATGAGAGATTATTAAAAATGATTTATCAAGTGTCAGGATAAAAAAGAGTAAAAAAGAAGAGAAAGAGTTTTGTTTGTTCAAAAACACAATTAATCTTCAAGAAATGTTCAGTTCGTGTCCTTATTCGGATCTATTTTTTTACGGCGGATTCAGGTGTCAGATCCTAATCAAAATGGTCCTAAGCACTAAAAATAAAAATCTAGATTTCAGATTTCACCTTGCAAAAAATGCTAAAATTTCAGAAGTAATTTGTCTGAAATTTCTACTACCTCCTCTGATTTAATGTAAATAAAGCCCATAATGATATCATTTATTGAATGACTTTAATATATTCGTCAATTAGATAATAGGTTTCGTATTTCAATTAATCCAACATTCTTATACAATACATTCCTCAGGTCTAGAAATATGCATTTTATATATTTACATAGTATATATATGTATACATTGATTAATGATTGGGACCAATTCTTTGCGAAGCCTTTTTTTTGTTCCCAGGGTTGGGTTATTGCCTGTAAAGAGAATTTGAGAAAAATTGCCCGTGGAATTTCGAACAATAAAAATCAATTTATAAAAATAAAAACATTTCGATTTTTGAAGAAGAAAAAATCGAATTTTTTGTATCCTTTGTTATCATCCCATATAGCTAACATATATACATACAACTATTTATATGCGAGCGAAGAGCTTTATTATAAAAATATACGCGGAGAAAATATTACTAAAAAGGGTGTCAAGAAATATTTAAGAAATCCCTAATTGTTAACTATATTTTCATTGTACTTGTTAATTTGTTTTCAGATTATATTGACTGGATAAACCAGAAACTGGTGATTACACCATTAACTATCCTAATCTACCCATTTACAAAATGGAAGTTGAGAGTTGGAAGGATTTTCAGACAGCATCTAGCCTGGATCCTGGAATTGAAAGAATTATCAAGGGATAAGATGAGAAAATAGAAATCTAATCAAACAAGATTGCTTCAGATTTATACTTCATCTTGGCTGTAATACAGTTTTTATTGATTTGAAAGTTCATTAAATGTTAAATGTTCTTGGCAATACTGACAAATCCTTGGGTTTGATCAAAAAAAAGGATCGTCTTGTCAACAATAAAAGTTCTTTTAAACAAAATAGTAAAGTCAAAACAATAATTATATGATATTGAGGTGTAGGACGTTAGCTATATTTTACACAGAAAGAAATGCTAATCATAACACTGTACACAAGGTCACATGTTTTATTTAAAATTTCAAAATATTATGATACGATTTTTGTTCTTTCCTGTTTGAATTTGAAAGGAAATATTATTTAAAGTGTGAGGCCAAATTCATTAGCTCTGAGTTAGTTTGCTCACGCTCCTTTAGGAAATAAAGGAGCGAGGAGGAGAAATAATATTATGTAATATTTAATTCCATTAGTTAACAGATATCTTTGTTTATCTTGAAAAAAAGAAATTCTATCAATTCTCTACCTTTTCTCTGCTGCACAAAATTTAATTCGCTATTCAATTTCCTGATAGAACAAGAATAAATACCCCAATCTTTTTTGTTATGGTTATCGCTGTGAATCAGACATTAAGTTTTTAATTTAATGTTACTTAAATTGTCTATACTTTAAAATTTGATGGTAAACTTTTAGTGTTTTTATTATACATATTATATTTATGCTTATTTTTCATCTGATAACCTGGTATACAGGAGAAAGTAAGCCCTGAAGAATATTACAGAATCAGAGCAAAATCTGTCTCTAAGAAAAATATGATAGACCGAAACTCAGTCCCTCCACAGGAACTGTACTACTCTAATCACAAAGTTTGCATTACCCTTCTCCCTCCCCACTTCTTGGTGAATGCTAACCGGCTTATTTATGCCAATTATGATTCTAAGAAATATTAGTTAAAAAGAAGGTACTCGTTATTTTTCAAGGGCTTTGACTATGATTAAGGATGTGAAATGAATATCCATCTGAAAACAGGTTGTAAAAGTTATGCTGATTCATTTTGTATTATTCGAAATATTTATTCCGGTAATTTTAATCTTGAAAGAATATTCCCCCCCCCCCCTCCTGCGTTACAAATTAAAGTTATTTATTTTTTTCAGCTCCTTGATTTTGTTTACACTGTGTACTGACAGGTCAGGGAAAGATCAAGCAGTTTTTCTCACCTTAGAAGTCCAAAATTTCAGCCTAAAAACCAGAACAGGGTAAAAGTGTGTTTTAATTGGATTTTTTCTGTCTGAAGGGATTTAGTGATAAAAACATCTTCCTTGCGAAACAGGGCAAGTTTTAACAATGTTCAGGGCTACCTACTAATGCTTTAATTAACAGTGTTATGCTAATTAAAATAACATTTTATGAATTATTATTTTAATTTATGAATTCACGCATGTCAATGCTTAAAGAGCACAGACATTTTTCACATGTATTTTGTTAAGTCCTTACTACAAAATTCTGAAACAACGGGAGGTGGATGTGGGAAAAATAGAGTGCTACTTTTGAAATCTAATCCCTGAAAGGAATTTTTTTACTCCATTCTTAAAATTAAGGGAGCCCAAATCTGCCTCCCCTCCTTAAGTGCGCTCCAAAGTTTTCCAGGGGTGGTAGTGTCCCCATAATTTTACAGGGGGAACGTCCCCCTTCAGAAGTAGCCAGTGCATGCCACATATGTATTTAATTCTTGAGGATAAATCGAATAATTTGCATGTTAAAAATGTATTATTTCTGGCTCATTGATTTGTGTTGCTCTTATTCTGCACTGTTTTCTTAATGTAAAGTAATCAATTTTGTGTATGTAGTTTTTTACTCTTTACTTGTTCTCTTTTCAACTTTCAAACTTATATCGTGTTGTTTTTAATTTGCTCAGAGCTGAAAACTTTAGAATGGTGGATATCAAAATCAATGATTGATCTCCTATTTTTCTTAATCTCCAGATTAATTAACCGATCAGGATTGAGGATATCACAATCAATTCAGCTCAGATTAATTAACCGATCGGGATTAAGGATATCCCATTCTAAAGTTTTCAGCTCAGTTTGATTTGCGTTTTTTACACCTTGTCTTCTGCAACTATATTTACTTTGCTTATTATCAACACGCACATAAAGTCCGTTCTTGTTAAAACTGATTCTTAAAACATTTTTCGAACACTAGAAGACTAATGAGGCCATTATGAAATTGTCACTTATGTGAACTTACCCAATTTTCATTATCAAATAGTCACTTTTATGTTGTTGTCAAATTGTCATTTCCATATTGTTGATACCAAATTGTCACTTCTGTGAAAATACTAAATTGTCATCACCTAAAATTGTCGTTACCAAATTGTCATCATCAAAAATTTTCATTAACAAATTGTCATTACCAAATTGACATTACCAAAAATCCAAAAATATAAAACTTTAACATATTATTGTTTTTTCTTCTTCAGTTTGCTTTGTACATAATAAACTTTGTACATAGTGTTGTTTTTATTCTTTACAGTTTGTGTTTTGTTTTTTAACTCATTATATTTGTTTATTGTGTTTTCATTCTGTACTTACTAACTTTGTACATAAAGGTTTATTTTATTTTTTGAAATGTTTTGTTAAAATATAACATCGTACTTAACATAGCATAAAAATCTAAAATAAAATTGCATAAAGTTTAATTAAGTTTTTAATTAAGTTTTGTAAATAATTGCTGATCCTAACTAAATAATTATCAGGAACTCAAATGACAACTGTGATATATATCAATTTCTTAATTTAATTCTGCACCAAGGCTGAAAATCTGGAATTATTGGGAATGAATAATATTAGTCTGAATTCTTAACTGTACTATGATAATAATTATTATTATTATAATTATTATTAATTTAATTAATTTATTATTAAAAATCTTGCTATGTATTCATATATCCTTCATTGTACACTCCAAATCTTAGAGATAATTATTTGCCTGGGTAAAAACTGCTTAATTTCAATTATGGGTATTTTATAAGAGTGACTTGCGCATTTATGCTTCAGAGACAATGTTTAAAATTACAAAGTTCAGAACTTTTTAGATAGAATAACGCTCGAGGTTTCTTCCTTGTTACTACTAAGAAAGAGGTGTAAGAACACTTTTGTGACTCAAAAATGGTATTTTTAAAGTGTAGGGTTCTTTACGTCCTCAGCGCCTTAAGTAGCTATTTGTCTATATTAATTAAAGAATAAACAAATTTGTATGTTTAAGGTTTCCGAGTTGTTTACTGCAGTTAGAGATGAAAAGAAATCAACTGTTCCCCAAATCTTGAATAAAAGTTTACATAATGTCTCCGGATCTACAAGCCTATGTGGTAATTTTAGATTTTGAATAATATACTATTTGTCTTTTCCTATATTTATATAAATATTGAATAAAGTAACTTGATAGATTGAAGTTTTACCGATTTTCCTGTTCAAACTAGTCAAATCTATCATTATTGTTTTAAAGAGATCTTTCAACTTGGAACACTATATGGCATATATATTTCAAGAATTATATGCGGGGGGGGGGGTGATTTTGATGCTATGGGGAAAAAATAAAAATTGGACACAAAAGGCAAGTTTCACAATCCTTTTTGATGCTTTTTCCCCATAAAAATCCTGTATTTTTACAAACTCTTTACAAAAATGTGAGTGGAAGAAAAGATTTTCAAACGAGGGCGGGGAATGATTTTTCAAGAAAATATAGACTTTTGTGAACAAAACAAAAAATGTTTTAAATTTTTGATCAAACATTTTTAAAGACTTACAAAAGTTTATTTATCTAATAAGCTCAAGCAGCTATTACAAGGATGCGCAAGCCATAGCGGCAATATTATGTGAAGCAGAACCTTTTTATTTGTCATTGTAGAATATATTTCCATCTCATAATTCTGCTAAAAACATATTTAAACTTCATTCCTTAATTATTCTCAGAAGGCTGTGTATCTTGGGCAGAGAAAATATTTGTGTTTAATAGTTTTTTTTAATAACTCTCATCGTGGTTATAACAGTAGAGATTTTATTCTCACTAACCTCAATTCATTACTCATCAATGATCACTCACTGCTTTTATAATATTTTTTTCGGAGATTCTTCCCCGAATATTGCAAGTTTTTCAGGAAATTCTCTTAACAATCTGTTTTCTTACTCAAGAGATTATCCCCCTATTCTTTAAACTTTTTCAAGTGATTCTCTCTCTAAATTATTCAGCATTTTCAGGAGATTTTCCCCTTAATCTGTGTTCTCTTTCTAGAGGTTCTCCCCATAACCTTTTCACTTTTTCAGGAGATTCTCTCCATAATCTGTCAACTTTTTTAGGAGATTCTCCCCATAATCTGTCAACTTTTTTAGGAGATTCTCCCCATAATCTTTCAACCTTTTCAGGAGATTTTCCCCCTAATCTTTCAACTTTTTTAGGAGATTCTCTCCATAATCTGTCAACTTTTTTAGGAGATTTTCCTCATAATCTTTCAACCTTTTCAGGAGATTCTCCCCATAATCTGTCAACTTTTTTAGGAGATTCTCTCCATAATCTGTCAACTTTTTTAGGAGATTCTCCCCATAATCTGTCAACTTTTTTAGGAGATTCTCCCCATAATCTGTCAACTTTTTTAGGAGATTCTCTCCATAATCTGTCAACTTTTTTAGGAGATTCTCCCCGTAACCTTTCCACTATTTTAGGAGATTCTCCCCCTAATCTGTCAACTTTTTACGAAGTGCTGTTCTTAGGGAAGATTAAGGTAAATCGAGCTTTTAATTACTTCCGTTGATTAGACCCATTAATAAATGCATAGCATATTGTACAGTGTACACTGATGTGCATTTTCCAATGCGTAGTAGTGAAATCAAAACCAGAACCCAAGTGGGAACAAAATCAATTGTCTTATATTTGATTATACTTGTTAACCCGTTATAGGCAGGGTGACCCACAAAAGAAAAAAACGCAAAAAAAGTTCTAAAACTTTTAAAATCCCGTGATCTGATGGTTAGATACAAAAAAGGCTAAATAAATCCTCCGAAGTTACATTCATTGTCGGTAACCCTGAACAAGAAAAAAGAGTTTAAAAAAGCAATTTGGCTACAGATCTTAAAACTTTTTTATTAGAAGTTTTTTATGAAGTATCATTTAAAATAATTTTCTGTGGATTTTTAACAAGATAGAACGCAAAGGTATTCATATCTTTAGGTTTGAATAAAGTTTGAAAGTTTTTAAAGCTAAAATCTGATTTCAATAAAATTCACAACCCAAGAAACAACACGACATATAAATAACTTATATTCCGTTGAAGGTAAGTCATAGGCGCGCTCCTCCAACCTTTATTGATGAAGCAGTTAAAAAAATCAGCAATAAGACTAGGAAACAAGATTCTCAGGATACAAACCTAGAACAGGAAAATATTCCAGGTTTCATTATTATTGTTATTATTATTTTAATTATTATTATTGATATCATCAATCATATTTTATCTATTATTATCATCATCTTATTGTTATTGTTATCGTCAATTTCAGCAATTATTGTAATTGGTAATCTCGCAATTATTCGGATGACCGTTGCAATGATGAAACTTATGATCCTTAAAAAGTCATTCATTAACAAACTCGATAAAGTAGTTTATTATTATTATTATTATTGTCATTAATTCATAATCACCATCAACATCATTATCATATTCAATGGTATTTTCATTATATATTATCACTGGCTTGAGCACGCAGCGTTGCCCATTCCTTGGGTTACCCCTAGTTACTCCCTCCGTTTACCCGCGCTTGGTCGTAAATTACGATTTTAACTATTTTTCCCTATAAAAATGGACCCACTCGACTTAGAATCTTGTATCTAATCCAAAAACATTTTCGTGGTTTTCCCGAGTCCCCCAATCAAAATTTGAGGCAAATCTGTCCACGGGTTCCTGAGTTATGATCGGACAAACAAACAAACAGACAAACAGAGATTACAACTTTATATATATATAGATAGATTATTGTTGATGTTATCATTTTTGTTATTGTTTTTACTCTCTAGTAGAATCAGCTGCTCATCCATTATCTAAAAATCTGCCCGCCAGACCCTCTCTCTGTGATGTAATCCAAGCTGTGACTCCTAAACCTGAGGAAAAACCAGGCAGAACATGAGATATTAGACTACATCCAACTTTACAAAATATAACAAATCTTTGTTCTCTTACAACACCGAAATATAATATTATTTTGGACATTCTATAATCTATATGGTCCGATTTTTAAAGTTGTCCCCAAAAGTCTTAGAAATTCATCAGATTTTCATAGATTAAAGACTAAAGGGTTGCTTTTGTCACATTATTTTGTTGACTCTGACAAGATTCCTTTTTTGATTTTTCTATTTTTAGATCTTCTATCTTTTTTTCAACACTTTTGTTTACTAAAATTAAAATGAACTTTATTAGAAAAAAAATATAAAAATGGCCAATTTTTGTTGGTCTCCATGAAAACAAAAAAAGCTTGATTATTTATTTTTAAAAAACGTCTAAATAAGGACGTCCGGCACAAAATTTTTGTGTAATATGACCTTTTTAATTTTGGCATCATCTATTGGTTGTTTTACTGATGTTTCATCTGTGCAGAGGAACAACCGAGTAAAATTATGCTTATGCAGATTGGAAGAAACGATATCAGGTAGCATAAAAGGAGTGGAGGGGAGGGGGGGGGGGCAAGAGTAGACTCCTTTAAACTGGGAAGTCTCCTTAACCCAACGAGGTTATAGTGTATAGAGTGATGATGTACGCCAATCCTTTACTAATTGTATCGGCATGAACTATACCCAGAGCGTACTGCATATTTGATTATTTTAAGGAGGTTCTGGCCCAACGTATAGTATATCATTATTAGAAAACAGTTGTAAGTGTACAGTACAGCTCACTGAGCATACATGTACAGAAATATCATCCCCCCTGCCTTAACCACATTTGAGTGTTTGCTGCTGGTTGTGTCAAGATATAGATGTCAGTGGGGGAGGGGGGAGGATTTCTGTGCTGTGACGTATTAGGACTTCCTACACTGCCAAGAGAAGTTCAGACCTTTCTTCACAATCTTTATCATTGTTTTGATTAAACCTGAACCCAGCAAACAGTGAAATATGTACACAATCTGTCCCCCACCCCCTTACATCTATTACACCTTGGGGTGGGTTACATCAGATGCCAATTAATAAATCTTCAGACTTCAACTGTTCACCAGATAGAACAGGAATTTTCTAGAATAAACCCTTGATTTAAGTGAGAAAAGTAGAACTGTTTTTATAATCCAGTTTTTTTCCACCAAAATTAGTTTTTTCCCCCTCAAAATATAATTTTTATGTATTATAAAATTAAATTTAAAGAGATGGGGTGGGGAGGGGGGGTTTAGGACGAGGAACTCATTTTCAAGATGTGAAGGATTGCTAAGAAGTAGTAATTGACCAATTTAAAAAAGGATGAGTTTTTTTTTAATTGCTTTTTTGAGGAGTAACATTTTTCAGTTGCTATGTCCACTAGATCCATCTAAGCATAGATAGACATGAGGCGAAGCTGAAATATGTTGATATTGCAGAAAGATATGATTTGCATTTACCGAACATTGCCTGTTCATGCCTCTAAAGCATGTTCAATTTAAATTGCTTATAATGCAACTTTTGACCGACAAATTCTACAAACTTGTTTATCTGAAGTCCATAATTAATCAAACAAATATCTCAATGTTGTGCAGACTGAAGAAGGTACATTGTCGGCAAAACAAATTCATATTATAAACAGTGCTTAGGATCCAATTTAATTTTAATGCAGATCCGGATCCAGGTCATTTCTTTAAAGTTAACTGAATTTTTTCAACAAAAAAAATATTTTTCAATTTTTAGTTTAATGAAATGAGGAAATTTTTATTAAAAGTTTTTTTTGCCGCATATTTTTGCGGATCCGATCCGGATCCAGTAAGCAGGGGCGGATACAAGGGGGGTCGGGGGGACATTCGCCACCCCTGACAGTCATTAATTTTGACTCTTTTTGAGTCTTTTAAGTCAAAAAATTTTTTCGCCTTTAGCGCGATTTTTTGTTCCTAATTATGAATTTTTTTGTTCCTAAAAAATCTTGCCCCCCCCCCTCACTTAAATCCTGTATCCGCCCCTGCCAGGAAGCCAAAATCTTGCCGATCCGGATCCGGATCCTAAGCACTATATAAAAATTTAGAACTTATTATTAGTTTTGATGGCGGCTTGACCATAATTTTCACGAAATAATGGTTGATAAGTTAGCATTTTATTCATATAGGGTCTTTCAATGGATCAAAATATTCTTTATGTTTTTGTGAGTTTAACGGGACAAAATGTAAAGTTTGTTTACTTTGCAAGATTTTGTATTTGCTTAAGGTTGTTTTTCATAGTTTCTATTGTTTATGTTTTAGATTAATATCCCCAGATACTAAACAGGTTCTGGTACACAAAACTTTCAGGTAATATCAGGAAAGTGGGGACCACAAACAACTTTTTTTTGATGCAATTACATTAAATGCGCAAAACACGAACTTACTGGAAAATAAGCGATAGTAATGTATATTTGATAACAATTAAACCAGGGGCGTCCACAGCAAAACACTTATGTGTAGGGGTGGAATAATAAAATACATGTTATCTTTATAACTTTTCTTGCAACGGAGCATCTATCTGTTATTTTTCTAACAAACTACAACAGTGTATTATATTTATTGTATATTTAGAGAGATTTCCCACTGCAGTTGCGGACAAGAATATAATCTGAACTTTGGTTTCATTTGCAAGGTACGAACTTAATTGGAAGGCTTGATATCAATTTACTGATATGAAGTTACAAATAACAATGAGAAGAATCATACATAATGATTATCAATCTAATTTATTATTTAGCAAGAATAAATATTTTTTTAGAAAAGTTTTTAACAAAAATAATTTTCAATTGTACACTGAACAGGAAGAGAGAGGGGAAAGTGCAGGATATGTAGGATACATATTCCAATGTGACAGCACAAATGTTGTCGAGGATATTATGCAGGAATTCAATATTTTAAAACTCCATACTTTTAACAATTTTATATTTAGTCAGAAAATTTCTTCATAAACAAAACATTGTTTTTCCTGCCGTATTTTTAGCAATAAACAATTTAATATACAAACATATAATTATGCGGATATGTTTTAAATCGTGGATTGACAAATCAAAATTTATTTATTTATTTATTTTTTGAAATATTGAAAAAAATAATGGTCAAGGGTCTTAAATCAGCGTTCTATACTGCCCATGAAACAGCCAGGCATGTATCTTTAATTTTATCATAAGCTTTTTTAAAGCAAAAATCAGATGTACAAAACCTGTTGTGTCATTCCTTATTAACAAATAAATATCATCTGCAAGAAAATAATGCCAGTATTTATAAATATATACGATTTAAGTTTCATTTCAAATGCATGGTTTATAAAATGAGATTGAAAAAGAAATAAACAAGGTGACCAATGCTTAATGTAAAGAAAATGTGGTTTAAATTCTTTAAATCGTCTCTATAGTCGCGTTTTTTATTGGCAACCCTGTACATTTACAATACATATATGTATTTATGAATATATATGAATCTTAATTTGTAATTGTAATTTGTAATTGGAACAGCAATGTCCTATGATCTGGTTTGATCAGCTCTGTAATGTATTATTGTATAGGAAGGAAAGGATGGAACAGCAATGTCCTAGCTGTCCTATGATCTGGTTTGATCAGCTCTGTAATGTATTATTGTATAGGAAGGAAAGGATGGAACAACAATGTCCTAGCTGTCCTATGATCTGGTTTAATCAGCTCTGTAATATATTATTGTATAGGAAGGAAAGGATGGAACAGCAATGTCCTAGCTGTCCTATGATCTGGTTTAATCAGCTCTGTAATATATTATTGTATAGGAAGGAAAGGATGGAACAACAATGTCCTAGCTGTCCTATGATCTGGTTTAACCAGCTATGTAATGAGCTTGAAGGTCTACCTGCAAACAAAGCTCAGTCGGCATTACTCAGGTAGAAAACAAGATTGCTGACATTTTTTGATTCAATACATTCCAAATGTGACTAAAATAAGCTTTACAAGAGATTAGAAGTTAATTTCATAAGATCGGGATGTAAACGCAAACAAGGATTGGAAATAATTTTAAACCTGAGATTGAGAATGAAATTCGAGCTTTGTTTGTGAAGGACATTTTAACTAAGATACTGTAGGAAACAACTGGACTAAACATAAACATGAATTCTGAGCGCATTATGCTTAGGAAGGTTGAGAGCTTGGGAGAAGTAGGATCCGGGATACTAGCAAAGATGGAGGGAGCGGAAACTACAGATATAGATGAACAGAATCAAATACTCATGATGCTTCTTAAAGCTAATTGCGAGGTATCTAAGCTTTAGTCAATAAATATCTGACAATCAGGAGTACTGCCGGCTATCTAAACATGTAATTTTTATATTGAGTTCATATTGAAAAGTCAAAGTCAATTAACGTTTGAGTAAATGAAATAATTTTAAAACGATAACGTTAAATTTTTAAATATTATATCGTTCCTTTGACAAGAAGATCGACCCTCTTACTACGCTGGATTGTTCTATTTGCAATCTGTGTGCATCCTGAATTTCCTATGCGTCAAACTTATGCATTTTACCCATGCGTCCTACCGTATGACAGTTTGCAATTATAAATAAATTTTATTTTAACTCGCAGAAAAAATATTGCTTTACTGTTTAATTTAGCCCTCAGATTGGTTAGGTTACCTAAGGTCATCAATCCTTGATAATGATGCTTGAAGGGGAGGCGAGGATGGTTTATACACACCTGTGTTACTACGAATGTACGAACGAATGGACATGCATGGCACAGCGATCTAAACAGTCATGGAAATTATGCATCTACTTTTTAGTCCATGCCGACATTAAAGCCTAACTTTGCCAGGACTTTGCCACAAAATCTAATTTTCTAGTTCCTATATCTTAACCTGGAAACCTTTGATATTTCAAACTTAGATCACTTGATCTAATACACTTCATAGTTATAGAGGATGTGGCAAAGACTTAAATCCTTTGGCGCCATATCCTTAAAGATTTTATTGTGCACTTTTTATCTCACAGTGATAAAAATAGTTAAAGACTTTCAATTTAGAATTCTCATGAAACCTATATAACTTTAAAAGTTTTATCAAGAAACATTTTAAGCCATGAATAAACGCAACTTTTATAAAACTCAATGTCATCTTAACAACTTTTTCCTTCATTATTTTACAAAATTATTTAAAATTCATTTGATATTTTTAGTAGAAAAGAAAATTGCATCAGTAAAAATCAAATGCTGCTTTTCTTGTTCAATTATCTATATAAACTTTTTAGGTTAAGCAGGGAGTACATGAACATATACCTGGGAGTATATTCAGTATATCCAGAGAGAGGACTCCACCCCCTCAACCCCAGGTAGTACATGGAGTACATGAAAATTTACCTGGGAGTATATTCAGTATATCCAGGGAGAGAACTCCACCCCCTCAACCCCAGGTAGTACAGGGAGTACATGAACATATACCTGGGAGTATATTCAGTATACCTATGGAGAGGACTCCACCTCCTCAACTCCAGGTAGTACAGGGAAAACATGAACATATACCTGGGAGTATATTCAGTATATCCAGGGAGAGGACTCCACCCCCTCAACCCCAGGTAGTACATGGAGTACATGAACATATACCGGGGAGTATATTCAGTATACCTATGGAGAGGACTCCACCCCCTCAACTCCAGGTAGTACAGGAAGTATGGGTAGAGTACAGTACTCAACAGGTAGTATGGAGTAAAAGGGATACAGGTAGAACATATAATATATTCCTGGGACTTAGGAGTATATGCATAATACACTATGCAGTGAATCTTGAAGATGACTCTACCCCCTAAACTCCAGGAAGTACAGGGAGTACGGAAGTATACGCATAAATGAGGGAGGAGGCATATCAGTTTATTCAGGGAGATAATTCCACTCCTTCAGCGCTAGGGATTACAAGGGAGTACATGATAACAGTAGTACAGAGAGTTCACAAATATATTCCCATGCAATTAAAATAAAACTGTTTTAATTTAGGAAAGCGTGTTGGCGGAAGCTGCAAAGAAAGCTAAACGGTCTCTAGCGGACAGTTTTAACATTATCCGGCGCAGAGCATCCGTTGATGTCTCTGGAGAATCCAGCGCAGTCCCGAATATCAGCGTGGAGCGTCCAACTCCGGTTAAAGCTACACCAAGCAAGGTCATCAACAACATGTGTATTTCTTACTTAATTATTTTTTAATTAGCAGATTATTCTCACTCATGAAAACTTTTTGTTGTGCGCAAAAGTAATTTTTTGACTTATCAGCAGAAATCAAATCAAATGAACAATAAAAAAGAGTTATTACGTTTCCGATTTTCAGGCAGCGCATCCTTTCTCAGTAACCTTAGCAGAAAGAATGCTCCGTGATAAATCGATGTCCCCAGACCTCTCCCATCTACCCCCCAGGTTGGTCTATCCCACCTCTCACCTACATCTTTGGTTGTACAATCAGATTGCCCCCCCCAACTCCCTCTTCTTTATTATTTTTATAAAAGTATAAACAAAGATCTGTGTTTATTATTTACTCATGCTTTTATCCTCATCATATATTACAATTACTCCGGTATATTACTTGTTGCTGTCAGAATAAACAATACAAGTTATAAACATATATTCTGTGCATTCACATATTGTCAATTTGGAGACAGGTTTGGTTTACAAAACCAGAGATTTCAATGAACTGTAGATATCATTTAAACTAATGTCCGATTCACACCCACTACCCTTTAAACCTTTGTTTGAACTAAGAAGAATGAGATATCCTTATTAAAATTTGATTATTTTCAACTGTGGTTATTTAGTAAAATGACTTAAACATTGAGATATGATACAATCGAAGAAATTGCTATAATTTAACTCTTTATATAAAAATTACGTTATTGATATTCATGTAAAGGTTTCAGGGCACTGTTGCAAACGCAAATGCCACGCTTTTTTTGGAGGGTCACTTGAAATTACGCCCCCCCCCTGCAGCCCCTCGTCCCCTGATAAACCATTTATTAATGTTTGCTCTAGGTCCCACTCCTGCACCCCTCCAACCCTGATAAACCATATATTCATGTTTGCTCTAGGTCCCCCCTGCAGCCCCTCACCCCTGATAAGCACGTAGCATTTCAATGTGAACTTCCAAACTCAGGTATATGTTTAGTGTGAGAATTCATGTAATAAACATTTACTACATACATCAGTTTGTTGTCTGGGATTAGGTTGGGACTAGGGTCCACTAGGAAATTAATGCAACTTTGAATCGTTATTTATTTGATATATATTATAAGTAAAGTAATAACAAGGTAAGTTAGAACAGTGGATTCAGCAGGAGGGGAAACTATGAAAAGAGAACTAGCAAGAAGACGGCTAGCAAGGTAAGTTAAAACAGTGGATTCAGCAGGAGGGGAAACTATGAAACTAGCAAGAAGACGGCTAGCAAGGTAAGTTAGAACAGTGGGTTCAGTAGGAGTAGAAACTAAGAAAAGAGAACTAGCAAGGTAAGTTAGAACAGTGGGTTCAAATGAAGTAAAAACTATGATAAAGAGGTAGCAAGGTGGTGACTGGTAAGTTAAACTTACAAATGTGTCTCTAACATACCCTGAATGGAGGATGGCGCTATGATGTTGGAAATTCGGTTAATTCTAGGTAATTAAAACACAGAGAGCAACAACCGGTCTTTAAAAATGGCGTTCAAACTAATAACTTGAAAGTTGAAAGCCAAAGGGTTCTGTTCTGGGATGCTAGATGGGTTGATCTACCGAACAATCCAGAGATGATTTCAAGGCTGCGTCGAAGCATTTTTCGTTAATAATTAATAATCCTTGATTTCCACGGATTGATGGTTGATCTTTTTATTTATTTATTTATTTATTTAAAGTTGTTAATATTTATTTTAGACTGGCTGCTGAGAGAATAGAAGAGGAAGATCTAAAAGATCTAACGTGTTCACCCTTATCAACAAGTCCTCAGATATCTATATTCAAGAAGACAGGAGTTAAATCCCCAAACTGTGATGTTACAACCTCAAGACAACATATTTACAATGTAAGTTTTCGTTTTTAATTCATAATTACCATTTCGAAAATTTTCTCAAAGTTTTAAAAAATGTGAACTTCAACATTAGAGAACTTACATTTTTCGTTGTTTTTTTGGATGATTTATTTTCTCCAAAAGTTCAAATTTATTTAATTTATATTAAATTCTGAAAAAGTTTTACTTTTTTGAACACATTTGTATATACATCGTCCAGGTTTACATGCATGTAGACTTGTAAGAGGGGTTGGGTTCAGGATTCTTACTTAATGAATGAATAAACAATCTACTAATTTAATCTAGTGTATCAGGTTTTTTGAGCGCTTTTTACCATTTTTCTTTAACTTGTTGCTTTTCAAGTCGTAATTTTTCATCCTACTCGCGAGTTTTTTTGTTTAAAATGGTGGATTTTTTAAAGATAACGTCGATCTTTTTTCCCAGGCAAAAATTTTCCATTTTCGGGGGGAATCTTTGGTTCGTTTTATTTTACAGGATATGTTACATTGTCATTAAAAAAATTATTCCTAATTTTGATGAATTGAACAGTAAGCATCGAACTCTGTATCTAGAGGAAGTATATATCTTGAATATTTTCAAGTATTTAAACAATGATTCATTCCTGGCTTGACCTGGCTTTTAGATATATGAGATAAACAAGTGCAATTAAACAAATAATTATTACGTGTCAATATTATTATCACAACACGTCAACATAAACAGATATATGACGAAAGTACCGAACTTATTTGAACTATTTTCTACGTTACAATTAGTAATGATGATGATGATAATAATGATAAAGATTAATAGTTACGATATCACCAACACTTATGTTTGAGTTAAACACATAAATCAAATTAGGACAAAATCAACGTATTAGTTTTTTAAGCCGGGACTACAGAGTACGACAAGAAAATTGTATTTTTAATAATCGAGTTTTTTGTTGGATTACATTTGCTAAGAAACAATTTATTTCAAATGAAATGAGCTTAACTTTTATTTTGTCTTTATTAATTTGAAAAGTTCAATATTAGGTTTTATTTTTTTATTATTTTTGTAAAATATAAGAAAGCAACATTTAATTAACAGAAGTTGGAATGTTTCTATGTTCAAATATATTAGTTTATTTTATTTTCACAATTTGTACTCTAAGATTAGTATTTTCAGTAGTTTTTTTTTTCTTTCCATCGTAGGGGGGGGGGGCTGAGGGTATTTGGATTGTTATTTTATTATTTCATTGTAAAACTAGCAATGAAGTAAAAATAAAATGTTCAGTAAGGAACTGATATCTCGCCACTAACTCTAATTTTCAATTTCTCGCATTTTGCAATCTGATGTTTTAGACCTTGGATAGTTTAAACTTCAAATTAGAGGTTGGGGGCGGGATTTAATTTCTGTTGTCGACATTTTAGCTTTGTTTTATACATCTATATTATATATATATTATATGCATGAGGTTGTGTATAAAAAGATAAGGTTTGAGTACAGTTCTATTTTGCTTTCACAGCTTTAAACATGATTATCATCAGAAATAAAAACTACAGGGACTATCATCAATCAATTAATGTTATTGTAAGTAAATAGCGGAGTATGGGGATGGGAGGGATTTATTAACCAGGGTTTATTAGGATAACTATCTTGAGTTTACTGGGATGACTTTCTAGAGTTTACTTGGATGACTATCTAGAGTTTACTGGGATGACTTTCTAGAGTTTACCGGGATGACTTTCTAGAGTTTACAAGGATGACTATCTTGAGTTTACTGGGATGACTTTCTAAAGTTTACTTGGATGACTATCTAGAGTTTACTTGGATGACTATCTAGAGTTTACTGGGATGACTATCTAGAGTTTACTTGGATCACTATCTAGAGTTTACTGGGATGACTATCTAGAGTTTACTTGGATGACTATCTAGAGTTTACTTGGATGACATAGAGTTTACTTGGATGACTATCTAGAGTTTACTGGGATGACTATCTAGAGTTTACTGGGATGACTATCTAGAGTTTACTTAGATGACTATCTATGGTTTACTGGGAAGAATACCATGGTATCCAACTATTGTTTATTATACTGGATGACTGGTTTGGGAATTGTTAGATCTGTGAATTATATTGGATTGTATATTATGCTTATATTACATAATATATATCTTGTCACCCTCTCCTTATATATTCGATTTGTGTTCAAGGATTGGAGAGGGTAGGAGGAGGGTACTAGTAGTAGATATATCTCACAAGGAGTATGAAATAGAAGGGAGAAACAACTGACGCGGCACGCCCTACCATATGATTATACATGCCTCGCAGACGGTACTCCATTTGTAAAAGAAATAATCAGAATAGGTTATTGTATACGCGGTAATTGTACATCAGACAATTATTTCATATACAAATGGAGTATTGATGTCGATGTTAATGTTCATGTGTATAACCATAAAGTATTTTTTTCTGTTTTAGAAAGTGGTGACACCAGGAAAGAAGAAAGCAGAAAACCAGAAGCCCCATCAGCCTAGAAATTTTAGGTGGGCCCAAATAGATTATCAAGTACAATAGGTGGCAACAGAGAAATGAACCAATTATACACAACGTCACAAGTGTCAAATATAACAAGGAAAACGAAATTATCTCACATTAGTTGACATGTTTTCCAAGATCAAATAAAAAAGTGTAAAAACAGAAAATAAAGAACACATAAAATTGCACTTATTTTACTGTAAGATAAGCACTTTATTCTAAAATTATCACTATTATTGAAATTTTGTCGGACACAAAAACTGAATTGACAGAATACAGCTGTACTGAGAGTGTACAAATTCTACGTTGCCAACTATTGTATTAGAATCTATTTGGGTGGGCCAATTTATAAACTAAGTTTTATTACGTTTTTAACATGTCTTCATTTTTTTTACGTCAGCAGTGCTTAGGATCCGGATCCGATGTATCCACAAGATTTTGGCTTCCTGCATACGGATCCGCAAAATTATGGAGATCCACGGAACAACCCAAAACTGCAAAATAATGTATTCTCAAAACCCAAATCTGAACTATTAAAAAAGACACATTTTAAAAAAATTCCTTATCTCTGAATGGTTCATTAAGTTCTAGCATAAAAATGAGCGAAAAAAAGACAAATTTTCAAAATTCTGCTTTGTTAAAAAAAATCAGTAAATTTTAAAGAAATAACCTGTATCCGAATCCGGATCCATTTTTTCCAATGCGGATCCAGGATCCGGATCCGCATCAAATGGATCCTAAGCACCTTACGTGCTATCGACAAGAATAAAGTTTTGAGAACTTAAACGCCTTTTATGCAAAATAAAAACACGCTTTCTCACTCTGAGTCCTGGGTGTAAAATGAAAACTAGAGGAGTGATGACTTACGACGTCGCAAAGCTATTCTTATAACTCCGAAACATATAGTCTTGTTACTTGCTTTAAAGGGACTGTAAACGTAATGTCTAGTGGTATGTCCGATTAACAATGGTACACCTAAAACTTTCGTCTGATTAAGAATTAATTATTTATCAATGTTTTTGTTCTTAAACTGTTTATTCTCAGTTTTGGTTTCTCACAATAATGATAAAGCAGCTAAATCAAACCAGTTTCAAGTTATAGATTCGACCACATTATTGATATGATTAACGGCTTTTAAGGGTGCCATTGTGAATCAGGCATGGCCCTTTTTTTACGTTCACTTGTAATTGCTCCTACAATCTTTTTAATGTTTTTGTTTGTTTTTTGAAGGGAGGGGATTAGGAAACGAATAGGGTTTTGATCATTCACATTCGCTGCGCGGTCCTCCTTTCAGATTATAATTCTACAATCTACATACAGGGTGTCCCATATCATATTTGATCGCCAATGGGTCTAAATTACGATTTTTGAGACTAATCAGAAAATTTAAGAATATTGAATCATTTTGTAAAATTGAAAAATACTTGCATAAAAAAGCTAGGTTTTTCGAGTATTATGTGTTTATTTCGGCGTTAAAACTTGGATATAGTCTAATACGCACTTATTAAGATATGGAATAACCTGCCACTTGATTTAAAAAGAAGTGCCTCGTTAAGCATATTTTAGAAAAGTTTACTTGAAATTTTATCTGACGCCTACATCTCAAAGTGCAATAAACCCTCATGTTATTCTTGCGAAAAATAAATATAGAACTTTGTAGATTTTTGTACATGCTTAATCTTATTCTGTTAAACGTACTAAACTTTAAAATTGAAAAATCAATTATTTTGTCTTGCTGCACCTCGGTCTCTCTAAATTTAACTAGTAATCCCTGACTCATTGTAAACTTTCAAAACGTAGTAATATTCATCATATTGTGAACGTTTTAATATTAATCAGGCGGGGATAATCCCAAAACAGCTAATCACCTAATTGCTATAATACATACATATAGAGAACTTTTTAAAATTAGTTGCAGATTTTTTGCCTGTAACATTATAACTTGTATGTGTATTTTCAGCAATAAACTATATTTATCTTATCTTATGTGCCACGCTCTGTATCTAGGGAACTATGGAAGACTGCAGTAAAGCAGCAAATTCTTCTTAACAGGATGGAGAAAGAAAACCTGAAGATGCAAGGTAACTGCAGTAAAAACTAGCCTACTTATCTTTATACACGGTTATCCATTAATATGTTACTTCAGAGACGACTGCACGGAATCTATTCAATATTTTCTTCAAATAAACTTATCCCTGCAACTGCAATTTAGTAAGAAGCCTCTTCCTTCGTTTGAAAAATTGGAACATCAAACATGTTTTTAGGCTACAAGAATTGGTTTCCATGGTCTAATAAACGTATCAATAAATTGTAAAAATTTATTTATAATATTTTTGTATAAACATTATAAATTGTTATTTGTTAAGCCCATGAACGAGTTTTGGCTGAGAAACGTCTGAAGTTAGATTACGAAGATTTAATTCCTCTTTCCCCACACCTTGTACAACAGTGGGACACTATACTACAGAAGGTAGAGTACAACAGTGGGACACTATACTACAGAAGGTACAGTACAACAGTGGGACACTATACTACAGAAGGTACAGTATAACAGTGGGACACTATACTACAGAAGGTACAGTACAACAGTGGAACACTATACTACAGATGGTACAGTACAATAGTGGGACAATATACTACAGAAGGTCAGTACAATAGTGGGGCACTATAGTACATAAATATCATTAGGACGGTAACGATGAAAATAAGTTACGATTTTTCAACCCTGGAAACTGTGTTATATAAAGAAATAATGCATATTTATTGAATTTTGGCAAGATTAAGTAGTTTCGGGATAAAAGAAAATGTAGACTTTTCATGAAATTTGAATTTTATACTTTGAAAGATCAAGAATTTGGGTAGAAATTCAAACTGAGACAAATGGTTGAAACAGTAATTGAACAGTAATTAAATAAAATTAAAATTGTAAAATTTTCGAAGTCAAGAATTGAGTACTAACTCGAATGTTCTAATTCCCATATATATGTACTAGAAATTCAAGGCGCTTCGCGCCCTTCTTTCTAGCCTTAGAGGGCGCTTCGCGCCCATCTTCTAAATTAATTGTAAACATGTTCTCTTTGTGTACATCGTAAAACTAAACAAAAATAATTCGCGGATTTTTACAAAAAAATTCGCGGATTTTCAAAATTTTAAAAAATTTAATGACGATCGAATTTTATACGGATCCAAAAACAAAAAAATCAACTAATGTCTAAATCAAATATCATGTTTTTTTATGTTAAGGGAGGATTAAGCTATCGTAGATCTGAGATAAGAAGCTGTATAGGTCAGGGGGTTCAGAAGGGGAGACGAGGGGAGATATGGAGCTTAATTGTTGCACAATCAGGGGAGAAAACTCCAGTTCCAACAGGTCAGTGGTTTTTAAGATATCAAATATTTAGACAATTTTGTTTTTATTTAATAAATAGAAATCTTAATTTTTAACATCTTTTTGAATCTGTGAATCCTGCCCTCTGTTGATAAACCGCTAGTAACGATCAAAGACGATCTCTCTTAGTACTAGTAGTGTCTTAATTGTCAAAATTAGTGTTACACCTTTCATGTCCTTCCTAACAAATAATATGAATTTTTATTGTTGTCAAATATTGATTTTATCTGATTTTATTGGACGTGAATTAGAATTTTTCGGTTTTATTGCTTTAGTTTAATTGTTTTTAAATAATTAAAAACCATTTTCAGATGAGTTTGCGAGTAAGTTTAGTGAGTGGGGTAAAGGATATTCTGAGCTAAGATGTCAGCTAACTTCTCATCAGCACGCTATTCTCATAGATCTTGGGAGAACATTTCCTAATCATGGTTAGTTTTAACTATATTTCCTAATCATGGTTAGTTTTAACTATATTTCATAATCATGGTTAGTTTTAGCTATATTTCCTAATCATGGTAAGTTTTATCTCTATTTCCTAATCATGGTTAGTTTTAACTATATTTCCTAATCATGGTTAGTTTTAACTATATTTCCTAATCATGGTAAGTTTTAACTATACGTCCTAATCATGTTGAGTGTTAACTACATCATGATTACTTTAACTACATTTCCATTCCATGTTTATTTTTAGCTTAATTTTCTAGGTCAGGGCCCGTAGACTGCTTGGCATATCTAATCTGTTATTAAGGATATTTTTCTTGTGGTCTGGGCCCTGGACAGCTTTGTATATTTAATCTGTTATTTAGGATATTTCTCTGGTGCTCTGGGCCCTGGACAACTTGGCATGTTTAATCTTCTTAAATCCTATTCAATACTTGACCCAGAGGTTGGATATTGTCAGGTTAGTGTTCATAAATGCTGCCTGAAACCAGGGATTCATCTAGGATTAATATGGGATAAGATTTTACACTCAATAATCCCTTACTACCACCTAACACCACTTAGAAACCAGCAGTCTTAAACCTACTACCAAATCTTTTATTTCTCTATCCTCATTCCTCTTCAAACAGGATTCACAACGTCCAGCCTCTATCCTCCTCCTATACTAATACTGGTAAAGCATAATACTTAAAGCCTGTCCTCTCCCTTAACCAGGATACTACCCCTCCTTAAACCCCCCCCCCCCCCTTGAATCTGGAGACTTGATAGAACTATATAATTTAGGGTTTACCTTTCCTGGTTGGTTTACTCTTGATGCATCTTGAGGAGGAGGAGGAGGCCTTCAACCTTCTCAAGTTCATCATGTTCGATCTTCAGCTCAGGAATATGTTTAAACCTGATATGACTGGTCTCCAGGTAATATATTTGTAACATCGTTTTCGAATTTTTATATTCGACAGTTGTCTCTAATTTGCAGTAGGATCTCAAGGTGGCCTCCCCTCCACGACGTACTTTCACGTATTACTTGACCAAACCTTTTTAGGTTGCTATGTACCAACTAACCAGGTTGCTCTCTGAGACCCAGCCCGCCTTGTACAAACTTCTTGATAGGCTAGAGGTAGATCCAAGGTGAAAACACAACTTATATTAATACAGATCGGTTCCTTCTACATTAAAAAGAATAAATGATTTTCAACTTTTCATAAGAAGTGCAAAAAAAATTTTGATAAATAGTCACTTATCTAGGTTATTAGATTTGACATGATTTTTTTTTCGCGGAAAGGTATCTTTCATTATTTCTTAATCGTTTCCTGTTCAGCTTGTATGCTACTCCTTGGTTCCTTACACTGTTCGCTGCTCACTTTCCTCTTGGATTTGTCTCCAGAGTTCTAGATCTAATATTTATTGAAGGAAAATCAGCCATTATTAAGGTAATATTTGCTAGTAGGTTGCCGGCAGAACTAAGGTAGAATGGCAGAACGACTTAATACTAATAATGACCTCACAACGACGTTGCCTTGACGTCAGCCCCGACCTAACGCGACATCGCCCCATTTTTCTGACAAGATTTGTTGGTCGAGGGTCATATAAGTGTAGTAGGGGTCCAGGGTAGAGTACAAGATATCATTATTATTGAGGTAATAAGGGGGTCCTGGATTCTTATTGAATGATTGATTATTAGAATCTGATAACTCGCCTCAGAGATCAGAACTTTTGTGAAGATTATAAATTTGAGTAATGGATTGATTGAATGGATTAAAAATTTAGAGGATTTGTGAAATAAGTCTCATCAAGATGTTTAAATATTCCTTGAAACTTTTCCAACTTAGCTGAGGATAAATGAATAAATAATAAGCATCAAGACATCAGAGGGTTGAAACCGTATTCTAGTGTATTATCATTAGACCGATAAGGATTCAGAAATACAATAAACTAGTTGATAAATCTAAACGTTGTTTAATCCACTGAGTTACTTATATTTCATGCTTTCCCAAATTTCTATGTATTTTAGTCTATCTGTTAAATAAAGATAATCATTATGTTAGAAGGGTCATAGTTTTTCTCAGGTTTGAGATATTTTTAAATTGAATGTAACTTAATTTCAAGTTACACCTTATATTATAAGCTAAAAGCCCGATTTTCAATAGTATTATTAGTATATAGCGGAATTATTTAGCAGAGACAAATAAGAAAAATATATATACAAAATATATATAAATTGTTACTCGGATAAAGACCTAAAAGGCACACAGTTTGAATCAGGCGTGTTACTAATTAAACGGACTTGAAATCATGTTTACTCTTCCTTCATAATTTGGTCTGGTACATTCTACTGAATTTAAAGTGTTAAAACATTTTAGAAACCTCAATCTGAATTCAATAGTTTAATTAAATCAAAGTTTTAAACAAACTTATTCCTTGGTTATCATTTTGATGTTCGGATTGAGCTCTGGAATAAAGTTGGATAGACAGACTAAAAGATTAACTAAAAGATAGATTAATAGATAGGCTATATAGATAGACTAAAATATAGTCTAAAAAATAGATTAAAAAATAGACTAATAGTTAGACTAAAAGATAAGCTTAAAGATAGACTGATGAATAAACTAATGAATAACTATTAGGTAGACTAACAGATAGACTAATGAATAGACCAATAAATAAACTGTTGTTTAGACTAATAATAAGAATAATAAATAGACTCATAGATAGACTAATAGAAATACTAATGGATAGACTAAAAAATAGATTAATATATAGACTAATATTAGACTAAGATAAAGACTAAAAGATTGACTTAAAATAAACTAATATATAGACAAATAGATAGAATAATATATAGACTAAGAGATAGACAAATAGATAGTTTGACTAATTGAAAGATAAAGTTGCCCTTTAATTTTCAATTTTTCATTTTTTTCCTGAACTTTGCAAATTTTATGCCTCGGAGGAGGGGGGGGGGGGGTAGTAGTTCTTATTTTGGTATTTAAATCAACCTTTTACTTTGCAGCAGGAGCATTTAGATTTTAAGTCCGGCAATAGAGTTCAGGTTTTTTTGAAATTCCGTTCATAATAAATTTTTTTCGGCTCATATTTTACTGTAGGAATGCGATTAAATATTGTTGAGAATAATTATAAAATTTTCTTGTTCTAGGTTGGGACGTGTTTATTGGTCCAGGCATCGAGATCTCTTCTGTCTTGTGACTCAATAGAGGAAATCATGGATACAATCAAAACAGGTAAACGTTTATTAAATAAGTGGATAATTTAAAATGTTTGATATTTTATTTGTTTAGAGCTGCCTGGGCTTCCCAAAAGTAGTTTAGAGGATGTGATAAAGCAAGCTGCGAGTTTAAATGTTTCAAGACAACTCAAAACTTACGAGGTATTATAAATTACAAATCCAATTCCATTTTAAAAGTTTTTCTTTTAAACAATCCAAAGGTAGAATTTATAGAAAACAGAGTTTAAGTTGAACTAGGTATGTCTAGTTTAACTACTTTTCTGATGAATTCTCGGCTACTCTATTCTCGCTTTGAATGATAAATTTTTATAAAATTTAAATTCAAAAATTCTTATTTTGCTTGGCTAGACCCTTCATAATGAGAAATCAAATCTAAATCCACTAAGGAATTACCCACATATTGTATTTTTATCAGAGAAAATATCTTTTTTCTCTTAAGCTGTTTAACCTGCAACAATAGGTGGGTATGCTAAAGTGGCAACATGGCTCAAATTTGGTCGTGTGCTGTGATCTTTACCAGCTGAACTTCACTGAAAATATATTTTTCTTTTTTCCCAAAAAAATATTCGTTAAATGATTGAATAAGTAAATTTTCTATAAAGCAAATCATGACATTGGTAGTGATCGGGCTGAAAAATCCGGATGTGGGTAAGACTTGAAACTCTAACCTTCATTTAGGAGCCTTAAGCCATCCCTGCAAATTGCAATTTAATTTTGATTTGATTTGATTTGATTTGATTTGATTTGATTTGATTTGATTTGATTTGATTTGATTTGATTTGATTTGATTTGATTTGATTTGATTTGATTAGGTTGAATACTCTGTGATCCAAGAAGAAATAAGTTTAAATGAAACCGGAACTGGAGAAAGCTACAAGGCTATTTCAACCCAAAACAACAACCTCAAAATGTAAGTATGATACAAAATTACATGACAATTGTTTAATTCCTCGTCGTAAAAAAAACCTCTTTTACTCTTTTTGTGATTTTATCGCTAAATTTAACTTGTTAAGTTTGAAAGAATTTAAAGAATTGTTGGGTAAAAATATCTAAATAAGGGAGGGAAAGCAAGGCGTAGTCACATCTTTCATTTATTTTTCAATTTAGTTTTAACACGATCAGGTGGTGTAATAGAGAAAGTTTTTTCAAACCAATTTTTTATTGCAAAAGATCTATTAAGTGCCATAAAATCTAGTTTATATCTCTATCTAATGTCACAGACCTTAAAAAGCTAATGTTCACACAAACAGGTTGCAAAAATGTTAGGATTAGAATTCCTTTCTCTGACCTTTAAATGTGTTTACTCTAGAGAGAACAAGAGACTCCTGGATAGGGTTTTAAGTCTGGAAGAGGAACTCAGGGCGGAGAAGGGGAAAAACAATCAGAACCTAGAGATACAGAAGGATACAGTAGAGGCTCAAAATATGAAGATTGAAGCGGAGAGGATGAAACTAGAGGCTGAGAAGCTGATGAGAGAGGCTGAAGAGATCAGATTAGAGGCCGAGAAAATGAAGAAAATATATGAAAATGCAAACTTTAACATTGAAAGAGAGAAGAATGAATTCAGGAACGAAAACGACGATGGAAATAATCAATTTGTTTCACTGAAAAATTCGAATGATGAAGTGCTCAAAAATAACAGGTAGGTCTAGGTTTTAAAATTTCTAAAATATTGGAAATCAAAGTTTTTTAATATCGAAAATATTTAGAGAATATACAGAGCAAAAGCAGAGTAGAGAAATTAACGGGAATATCTGTAAGAATCAAGTTTATGCAAACATTACAGATTCATCAATCTCATGATCCAGTTCTCTTGTAATAATCCATTCAGCTAGGGATCATTTCATTCGTGATCCATTTAAGCCGTGCTACACTTATTTCTTGATCCATTCTATTGATCCATTCATCTCTTGATCCATTCATCTCTATATCCATTTATCTCTTAGTCTATTCATCTCGTTACACATTCATCCTTTAATTCATCGTCTTTTGATCCATCGTTCTCATAGACTCATTCTCCAGTCTTCTCATAGACTCATACTCCATTCATCCTTTGATTCTTCCTTCTCATAGACTCATAATCCATTCATCTCTTGATCCATCCTTCTCATAGACTCAATCCATTCATCTCTTGATCCATCCTTCTCATAGACTCAAAATCCATTCATCTCTTGATCTTTTCTTCTCATAGACTCATACTCCATTCATCTCTTGATCCATCCTTCTCATTGACTCATAATCCATTCATCTCTTGATCCATCCTTCTCATAGACTCATAATCCATTCATCTCTTGATCCATCCTTCTCATAGACTCATACTCCATGCATCTCTTGATCCATCGTACTTCTAGTCTTTTCATTTTTTAAACCATTTCTGATTTTTAAATAGGTTATAAATATAATGAAAATTCGAGGTCCAGCAAATATTTCAAATTCCTAAAACCAAAAACTTTTATTATGAAATCTAACAGAATGTAACTAATTACTAAAACTCGAATTTTTAATTCTAACAGTGCGTATAACTTATTTTTAAAAATAAGTTTGACATCTTACCTCGAATTTTAAATTGCAAAACTTAATGTGCCAAACTAAGTGCCTACAATCCTTAACAGATCTGAGTCTATTTTATTAATGAACTAGTGCCATAAATAGTAACTATATAATTATGCAGATATAAATATATTATACATAAAATCAAAATGTTGACCGTAATAGTTAGTTTTCCTTTCATTAAATATAACGAGTGAATAAAGTTCTTTTTACTGCTGAAATATTAATTCTCTCATCCTTTTGTTTTCGTTCAAAGTCGCAACAATTTGTTAAAATTTTAATTTTTTTATCAGCTTCCTGTTCAAATAAATAGTTAATAAGTGAATAAATAATATAATTCTAATATTCATTACGAATTTAAAATATATTTTGATAAGATGTAAATACTGTTTATGTAGATATGTTCATTTTAATTGTCTGTCAGGTAAATTCAGGTGTCCCATACATCGCTGTAATTTATTGTCTTCAAATTGTATTCAACAATTCTCTTGGGTTGCTAAATGTGATTTTCCATTCTTTTAACCTCAAGATTGACAAAAATTATACGAATCTTTTCATAACTTAATTTAATTACTAGCGTCTCCATTATGTTTCGCATTAAAAACATTATCTTCTGTCGGCGAAATTTTTTAAGTAATTTACCTAAATTGATCAGATTTTCTTCCATTTCTGTAAAAATACCGGCATGTTTAGAGATCTTAAAGGTTACCCACAACGGATAAGACTTCAGAGACGAATATCCGGAACTTTTAATTGAGTTTCCTTTTTTTCATACTTTTTTCATACTTTTTTCAATTCTGCAGTTCATGATTCCCTGCAACTGTAAGCTTGTTTCTTGGCCTAATCATGAATAACCAACTAAAGCATAGATTAATCAAAATAATAGATAGGACACTAGATGTCATCTTTAAGATTTAGAAGGGTTTTCGTTTACAATAACCCTGAGGCAGACGGAGAGAGAGTGCCTGTTCTACGCCGACTGCGCGTAGCTCCTTTGGGCTTCTGCCTCTGTGATCTAAGGCATGAAGAATTTATTCAACCATGAGATTGTGGGGTCGTCTTCTTCTTTACAGTCTCACTCTCGTTACATACAGGGTTAACCACAAATGATGAAAATACTGTGACGATCAGAAACTATTTCAATCTGAAGGTGGGATTTGATCTTTGCTGTTGATGTTTACTCTTGAGTTTTGTCTTACATAATTCTATTATTCCATGCAATCGAGAAATTTCGAAAATTTCTCTGAAGTCTCAAGCTTCGTGGTTAACCCTGTATTATCTAATGAATGCAGATGGAAATTTATGGCAGGAGGGGAGGGGGNTGGTGTATATATATATATATATAATACAGAGGCAAAAACTTTAATTTATCTTTGTAATCATTTTCATTCAAATTATTGACGATTTAAAACTAAATTAATAGTTTTTTTAAAAACATTTAACTAATTTTAGTCTTAGATCTGATAACATGTTGAATTTGCTGATGATAGAATCGGAGCTCAGAATAAATGTTCAGTTTGAAAATAAACTAATTTTATTTAAAGTTTTCGACTCAACCACTCTGATATATGGTGCTCAGGATTGGAGAAGGAAACAATGAATAAAATAAAATGATGAAAGAATTAGAAACGAATGAATATGCAGAAATGTGAGAAATGATTTGAAGGATTTTAGGAAACATTGAAGAAAAAGAGGAATAAATTGTCTAGTCATAAAGAAATGAATAAACAACTAAGATATTTAAAACCTAGTTTGAATGAAGGCTCAAAGAACTAAATATGGAATTAAATGAATGAATAAATGAGATTATAGATAACTTTTTGGTCCGTTTATTGTTAAACAATAACAATTTTTTAAAGATTTCTCAGATGTTTCACTTAGCATCAGAGAATTTTAGAAGAAAAAATAGAAATGATTTTTTTAAGGTTGAGGTTTTTTTATTCTATTTGTGTATGACTCTGATCATGAATTCATGATGAATCTAATGATTGATGATGAAAATAAAGAATAATAAAACCTGATCAAATGAATGATGCATTTTGAATAAATTATGCTAATGGATTCTGGCTGGCCTTGGTGTGAGAAATACCGCTCATCTGGAGATAAAGGATACGTTTTCAAACAATTCAATTCTTGGGTTTTATATGTTCGCTGGCAGATGGTTGCTTCCGCTTGGGCCATTTCATTGCGCGCAATTGCGCTATAATTGCGAAAAGGAAGCAATTAAATATTAGCGGAATTGCGTGCATCGGAATTGGTTTCATATCTAAAAATCAATAATTTTAAATGTTCTATTCCACAGTCGTGCACATTGCTTTACTTAATGATAGGAAACCGAGTTTTAAACGATGTTTTAAAATTGATAGAAAATTATTCTTGAATTTTACAAAAACTGTGATAGACCTCGTTTTGTAAATCCAAGAATTACAGGATTATGATGTTTGTAATTGGTATCGTTGCTAAAAACTTCTATTCTTCTAATATTAAGGTTCAGAAGGCTAATCTAACGTCGTTACTTAATTTTCAAGGTTTTTACGATATGTATTGTAAAAGCCAATATTTTTGTTACTAAAAATTATTATGTATGAGTAAGTTTTTGATGTGATTTTAGAATATATATATTATAAGCGTGGACAGGACATATTCTTGTATTATTTTCAAATATTTGAACATTTTCTTTATGGTTGAAACAATTAATCTAATTATCTAAATTGTTAGAACCAAAGTTCTTGAAAAAGAATATATGAATATGTTTAGGAAAATGATTAAAATATTCCCCTTAAAGCGAATATTTGGATTTTAGATGAAATAGAAAATGCTAAATATAAATAGTAGAATACATAAAATGAATATATACAGCAGTATACAAATAATGAATGTACAAAGTAGAATACATATAATGAATATACAGAGTTAAATGAATATTGTGAATATACAGCGCACGCACCACTGAGCCTCTAGTAAAAGTAGATTCAACTTCAAGTCTGACCACGTCAACCTTGTTCCCCCGGCTAGTCCTATTGAGTGTCTGCCATAGAGAATAGAATATATAGAGAGGAATTTACTGGAAAAAAGTGTAAAACGGCCATTTTGTTGTACTGTTTCCATACTGCAGGTGTACTTCACATATTTATGCTATATAACCTGGTGGGCCCTGGAATATCATTTTATTGAAAATCTAAAATATCATTTTATAGAAAATCTAAAATTAAGAAAACCAAATTATGAAATAGGCTGGTTTCATAATTGACCAATGATCATTTCACATAGACTCTATGCCTTCCACTTTACAAACGATGATTTTCCGTTATAACTATAAATCAAATGATGTTTTTATTCATCTAATTCATTATAAAGTTTATTTAACAGTTAAAAAATTCGAAATTGAAATGGATAGTCTAGTGAACATACTGTATTAATGTACTCTACTGTATATAATTTGTGAACATTTACATGATTTGTGCACTTTGAACTCCCTTTCAGACTGAAAGGGACTGAAAAAATTCATACCGAGAGATTCTTTTAATTCCTCTCTATATATTCTATTCTCTATGGTGTCTGCTTTATTTATGTCCGGCCGATACAGTACAAACTGGGACCGGCTCGTAAATTCAAATGTACTACGGCTGCCCGTGAGAGTAGAATACATATAATAAATATATACAGAGTTGAATGAATATAGTGAATACAGAGTAGAATGAATACAGTAGAATACATATAATGAATATTCAGAGTTAAATGAATGTTATGAATATACAGAGTAGAATGAATATAGTGAATATGTAGAGTAGAATTAATATAATAAATATATACAGAGTAGAATGAATATAGTGAATATTTAACTGATGGTAAATATTGATGAGAAGATAATTACTTGTAATAAATATGCAAATTGTAAAAGAAGAATAATATGAATAGGATAATGTTCTTGTATGTATCTTCATAAATATGATTTCTTGAAGAATATTAAAAACAATGTTATCTTTTGTTTGTAAAATGTTTACAGTTCTATTGATAACACAATCTAGTTTTAGTTTACCAAAATAAGGTATAAAGTTACAGAAATATAAAATTCATCTCTTCGATTATAAATAACAATTACAAATGGATATTTAACTTAAATGTTATCGTAAATCACTCAAAGAACAAACTGATCTTACTGATTTTAAACGCGCGTTTTAGAAACAAAATCAGGCATGAATAAATTAAATGTCAATTTACTTAAACTAAGAGGTGTTTCAAAAATAATCTAAAAGGTGTTTCAAAAATAATCTAAGTAAAGGTTAATATTACTTTATAGTTGACAGGAAGAACTATTGCAGAAGAAAACCCTTGTGACACGACAAAGCTGGAGGTTCCGAAAAGATTGTTATGAATTATGTAATCATTCTTTTAACAACTTTTCCAGAAAAGAAGTTTAACTCATTCTGCCAATTTAAAAGTTCTCAGCTCTTCGGCAAGGCTAAGTAATAAATGGAAGACTGTTGAAATGATCAGGTTTCCATATACCTTTTAGAAAAATGTTTTGGATTTTTCTTTGTGGACTTATAGTCCTTAATACCAACACTGTAGAAGCAGGTAAAAAAATAGACATTTTTGCATTGATTGGAGTTGATAGATTTCTTAGGGTTTGCATTAAACAACGTGGAGGAAACTTATATAAACATAGAACACAACAATTGTACAGTAAAGTGCACAGACCCTTTTAACATTGAAATTGATTTTCAATCTGATGTAAAACTACTTGCTTTATAAAAAACACTAAAAACGAATAAAATGACTTAATTGTCGTATTCAATCCCATATGGGTCTCAAAAAATGGATAAATATTTAGATAGTGTTTTGCTTTTGGGAGGAGAGGTGAATTCCTTGAATTTATTCTACTTTTGATCAATTGGAAATTTTAAAGCGTTCAGGTTAAGGGATATGGATTGTGTGGGGAGTTAAAGGAGAAGAATAATGTTTTAATGTTTAGGTTTGAGGGGTATGAGTTGTGTGGGGAGTTGAAGAAGTAGAATAATATTTTTAATGTTTAGGTTGAGGGGTTTGAAGTGTGTGAGGGGTTAAAGGAGAAGAATAATATTTTTAATGTTTAGGTTGAGGGGTTTGAAGTGTGTGAGGGGTTAAAGGAGAAGAATAATGTTCTGAATGTTTTGGTTTAGGGGTATAGGAGTTTGTGGGGGTTGAAGGAAAAGAATAATGTTCTGAATGTTCAGGTTGAGGGGTATGGGTCGTGTCGGGGGGTTGAAGGAGAAGAATAATGTTCTGAATGTTTTGGTTGAGGGATATAGGAGTGTGAGGGGGGTGAAGGAAAAGAATAATGTTCTGAATGTTCAGGTTGAGGGGTATGGGTCGTGTCGGGGGGTTGAAGGAGAAGAATAATGTTCTGAATGTTTTGGTTGAGGGATATAGGAGTGTGTGGGGGGTTGAAGGAAAAGAATAATGTTCTGAATGTTCAGGTTGAGGGGTATGGGTCGTGTCGGGGGGTTGAAGGAGAAGAATAATGTTCTGAATGTTTTGGTTGAGGGATATAGGAGTGTGTGGGGGGTTGAAGGAAAAGAATAATGTTCTGAATGTTTTGGTTTAGGGGTATAGGAGTTTGTGGGGGTTGAAGGAAAAGAATAATGTTCTGAATGTTCAGGTTGAGGGGTATGGGTCGTGTCGGGGGGTTGAAGGAGAAGAATAATGTTCTGAATGTTTTGGTTGAGGGATATAGGAGTGTGTGGGGGGTTGAAGGAGAAGAATAATGTTCTGAATGTTTTGGTTGAGGGATATAGGAGTGTGAGGGGGGGGTTGAAGGAAAAGAATAATGTTCCTAATGTTTAGGTGGAAGGGTATGGACCGTGTGGGGGGTTCGAGGATGGGTTACCTGACCTACCCAACAATCTTAGAGAGCTTGGAGCTGCTCTTCTTGGGAACACATTAGGAACAAAACAGCGATAATGGTTCCAATAAGGGAACTCTACTCTTACATAGAAATTCTGCAAGATCTAAGTTCTAACAGTCAAATGTTTAAATATCAATGGTTTACACCATTAGATAAAGGAATTAATATTATAGTTTGTGGTAAGTGCTCACTGTTCAGGTTTTTTGTTAAAATTTTTACGAAATCCTTGTTTTTCTAATCGTTGATTCATTAATTGTCAGTTGTTTGTGGTGGATTCGCTTTACTGGCTCCTGTTAAGGTAGGTGTAGAAGTAGGAGTAAGAGTAGAAGTATAAGTATAAGTAGAAGTAGGATTATTAGGATAGGAGTAGGAGTAGGAGTAGGAGTAGGAGTAGGAGTAGGAGTAGGAGTAGGAGTAGGAGTAGGAGTAGGAGTAGGAGTAGGAGTAGGAGTAGAACCAGAAGACATATACTGGAGACAAACCTTCTCCAGTCAACCCTACCAGTCCTAGGATGACGTAAGAATAGGAGTAGGAGTAGAAGTAGAAGTATAGAGTAGGAGTAGGAGTACAAGTATAGAGTAGGAGTAGGAATAGTAGTAGGAGTAGGAGTAGGAGTAGGAGTAGGAGTAGGTGTAGGATTAGGAGTAGGAGTGAGAGTAAGAGTAGGAGTAAGAGTAGGAGTAAGAGTAAGAGTAGGAGTATGAGTAGGAGTAGGAGTAGGAGTAGGAGTAGGAGTAGGAGTAGGAGTAGGAGTAGGAGTAGGAGTAGGAGTAGGAGTAGGAGTTGGAGTTGGAGTTGGAGCAGCAGCAGCAGCAGCAGCAAATTGTTTTCATGAATGTTTTAGGATTGTTACTCCATTGAGTTAAATACTTGGCCTTTAGGAAATTAATGTAAAAATTCTATCTCTGTTCTTCAAAAATATGAATTTGTTCCCCATATTTTCATAGAAATAATTAACACACTCCGTTTTATAGTTGGTAAAGCTTGATTATTTACAATTTATGCATTGATTAATTGTAGAGTGGAAAGTTTTCCCTTCTCTTTTGCACGGAAGGTAGGATTAATCTTAGCAAAAAAATTTGCGAAATTTTTCTTGTTTTTTCTTTATATGTACGAAAACAGAGACTCGAAGCCTTTTTATCAACATTTCACGATTTTTTTTTAATTTCAAGAGATTTTTTAAAATTTCAAGAGATTATTAGCTAATAAATTGAACAAATTTCAGGCATAATTTTGGATTCTTAAATGTTGGTGGAGAACTCTACGCAGTTGGAGGAAGTTCAAGTATTGGATCTGTTAGGTACTGTACAATTTACAGTGTACTGTACAATTTACTGTGTACTGTACAATTTACAGTGTACTGTAAAATTTACAGTGTTCTGTACAATTTACGTGTTCTGTACAATTTACAGTGTACTGTACAATTTACAGTGTACTGTACAATTTACAGTCTTCTGTACTATTTACAGTGTTCTGTACAATCTACAGTGTTCTTTACAATTTACAGTGAACTGTACAATTTACAGTGTACTGTACAATTTACAGTGTACTGTACAATTTACAGTGTACTGTACAATTTACAGTGTACTGTACAATTTACAGTGTACCTTACAATTTACAGTGACCTATATAGTTAACAGTGTACTGTATAGTTTACAGTGTACTGTATAGATTACAGTGTACTATATAGTTTACAGTGTACTGTATAGTTTACAGTGTACTGAATAATTCACAGTGTACTTATAGTTTACAGTTTACTTTATAGTTTACAATGTAATGTACAGTATACAGTGTACTGTATAGTTTACAGTGTACTTTATAGTCTGCAGTGTACTGTATAGTTTACAGTGTATTGTTTAGATTCCAGTTTACTGTATAGTTTACAGTTTACTGTATAGTTTACAGTGTACTGCATAGCTTACAGTGTACTTTGTAGTTTACAATGTAATGTACAGTATACAGTGTACTGTATAGTTTACAGTGTACTTTATAGTCTGCAGTGTACTGTATAGTTTACAGTGTATTGTTTAGATTCCAGTTTACTGTATAGTTTACAGTTTACTGTATAGTTTACAGTGTACTGCATAGCTTACAGTGTACTTTGTAGTTTACAATGTAATGTACAGTATACAGTGTACTGTATAGTTTACAGTGTACTTTATAGTCTGCAGTGTACTGTATAGTTTACGGTGTATTGTTTAGATTCCAGTTTACTGTATAGTTTACAGTTTACTGTATAGTTTACAGTGTACTGCATAGCTTACAGTGTACTTTGTAGTTTACA